CGCGCGTGTTAAAAGGGTTCCATGAAAAAGAGGGAGAGGGGGGAGGAGGAGGAGGAAGGGGTTCACACGAAGGGTTCCGTGGAAAAAAAAAAAAAAAAGGAGAAAAGGTGAATGAGTGGAAAGAAAGTGAGATAAAAGTGGAAGGGTGGAAACAAGGATAGAAAAAAAAAGTGGAAACGCGCGCGCGCGCGCGAGCGCGCTATAGAGAGAGAGAGAGAGAGGCTCTTTGGTTTACGCGACGCGATGCGCATGCGAGCACCTCCGACTTGTGGAAGTTTAGCCGTTAACTTAACCGGCGTTTACCTTAATCTAAGATCAGCTCTGGCCTGCCGCGTGCACTGCTCGCGTATAATGTATGGCCGTATGAATATGCATTGGACACGGTACGAGGTCTACCACCGATGTGAACGCTTACACACGTGTGCCACGTAGTACGTACAACGACGACTACGTTTTCACCTACGGCTTTACCTGCGTTTGCCTTACGCTCGGTTTGCGAGCGTTCGACCGCTTGCCAATCGCCTGCCGAGAGAAAACGGGGGACAAGAAGGCGCGTCTGAAATCGTGTTCGTTCCTTCGAAATTGTCGGAAAGTGTGTGAGAGAGAGAGAGAGACTCGGATCGGCTCGGCAGTTCCAACCCAACCAATCGCGTGTCGCGCGATTAATCGTCGCGCATCGCGCGGTCGTTTAAACAGGGCATAAACGTTCCTTTCCTATTCCCCGTACTGCTGCTCGGTCCATAATTCACCGGCCAACCAGGATTTTCATTTTTCGCCGAGCGGATCGGCTGCGCGTAGGCAGCGCCCTGCAGGTTGCACGCGCGAGACGCTGTTAACCGCGCGTGGGAGTAATTTGTGAGCTCGCGAGTAGTGCGTTTCTCGTGCGTGCCGGGGCCGATACCCGGCCTACGAGGGAAGCAAGTGGAAGGTGGATCCCTTATCTGGCCTCCCGAATTTTACGACCGTTTTAAAGGATCGTTAATTTTCCAGCGTTTATCGCCTGGTCCTTCTTCTTTCGCCTCTCTCATCGCTTCTCTCGGCGAGGAGCGAGCGCCGGTGGTCGACCAGGGAAAATTCGAGCGTCGATCCCTTCGTTTACTACGCGTTTTATAGTACTTTTATATTACCCGGACATTTATATTACTGAAACGTTTTTTGGACGATAATTCGTGACGCGCGATTTGTCGGAAGCTTTCACGGATTTCTACTTCTTCTACTAGTTGAGAACTGGATCATTTCGTTGCCTCGTCGTTGGAAAACGATAGAAAACAAATAGCATCCAAATGAATATCTTCTACTACAGTGGACAAAGCTTTCTACAAGAGCACTAGTTTTTTTTCATAAAAAATCAAAATATTTTAGTAATACAAATATTATGATATCGTAATAATATATGATGTATGGTTATTACGATATAATATATATATATATATAGTAATATATCGTAATAACCATACATCATATATTATTACGATATCATAATTATATTATATATTACTAAAATATTTTGATTTTTTATGAAATATTTTATATTTTATATATATATACATACTTCCGTCCATAAATCACCGGACATTTGCTATTTTGAGCTAAATAGTTTCTAGAGCAGAGATATACTTTTCTGGATTAATTTTATTATACAATCTTGTTATATGTACTTTATTTACTCTGTTTTATAATAATATTTGAAAACAAAGCTTATTTTACGTATATGATATGTATGGTATAGTAAGCTGATATTTTACGTATATAATAAATATTTCAAAATATGTATATATATTTAAAGAATCCACTCGATGAATTATGAGGTTAATTGGACAGAAGATTTAGAGAAATGTGTCCAAAATCGAAAAAAAGACTTATGGAAGAAATTAGAAGAAGAGCGGAAAAAAATTCATTCCGAAATATTGTTAAAATTAAACGAATGCATGCCACGGTTATTTCTGTCCGTCACATTTGCACAAAGATACATTAGATACAACCTTGGTAAGATTATCGACATATAAACTGTTTGACAAATCTATTCTAAATATCATACATATGTAATAAGTAGTAATTTCGGTTCATAAAATAAGTTATTTCATCGAATATAATTGCCAGTACCTCGTTTTGTCGTAGCGTCCGGTGACTTATGGACGGGAGTGCCATAATATTATGATAATAAATACAGTGCACTATCAATATAAATAAAGAAAGGCTAGAAAATGACTAAAGAACAATAAAAAAAAAAAAGAAAATTATTTACGCTGCCTCTTACTCAAACTTCGGCATAATAATAATATTAATATTGATTTATAGAAACGCGATTCGCATCGTAAAGTTGTGACGTTTGTTATAAAAATTACTAATGTTTATATTAATAATAATAATTTTCACACAAAGAGCACAATCTCCATTTTTTGTATGATTACCAATAGCAATAATAGCTCCTACTCCAGTTTCATCTTTAGTTCATTCATCAACATTAGTTGCTGCAGGAATTTATTCAATGATTTGATATGAAAATTTATTTGATATTAAATATAAAAGTTTTATTTTATTTATTTCTAGAATAACTATATTAACCTCTTACTCAAACTTCGCCATAATAATATTAATATCGATTTATAGAAACGCGATTCGCATCGTAAAGTTGTAACGTTTGTTATAAAAATTATTAATGTTTATATCAATAATAATAATTTTTACAAAAAGAGCACAATTTCCATTTTTTGTATGATTACCAATAGCAATAATAGCTCCTATTCCAGTTTCATCTTTAGTTCATTCATCAACATTAGTTGCTGCAGGAATTTATTCAATGATTTGATATGAAAATTTATTTGATATTAAATATAAAAGTTTTATTTTATTTATTTCTAGAATAACTATATTAACCTCTTACTCAAACTTCGCCATAATAATATTAATATCGATTTATAGAAACGCGATTCCATTGTAAAGTTGTGAACGTTTCTTACAGAAATTTTCATCGCGGAGGAGAGCTTTGAACCTGCTGTTTGCTAATGCATCGAGTCCAAGATCTGTTCAAGATTTAAAAGCTCCCCTTAGAGGGACTAATCTGAAGTTGGAGCCACGTGGCGAGTCGAAGACGCGGCCGGGATTCATGAGGGTTAATTGCAAGTTGATGAAAACAGTTTTAACGCTTTTAACTTTTCACTTGGTCTTGGCAGACCGGACGGCGGGGCTCTCATGTATATTTAATAACCGACACGTGGGTACACTTGTCTAGGCTGTTAACGCGATACGTGTATCCATGTTAATTCGCTCGCTCGGTGCGATGTCGAGCTTTAAAAAAATTCAACCTAGCCCCGCGTTTCTTCACATCTTCCTCTCTCTCTCTCTTTCTCTCGCTCGCTCCATCTTCTTGCGCGATTCTATCTAAGATCGAACACAAATGATTCATGAATTCAACCACGCGGATGGAAACTCGAACGGGATAACTGACAGAGTAAAGTCACCTGATGTGAATCACCTCTCCTGATTCGAGACCTCGGTTTATCTCTGCAAAAATTTTTTATTGTCGCAATGATGTTTTTTTTGTTAGTTACCAACAGACTATTGGTACTGTGTTTTGTTTGCACATTGGTTAACTGTTAGAATTAATTATCATTATTATTTATTAATTATTATTAATATTATCTGGCAAGTATTGTTATTTCTTTTCGTCAACGGGACAATTTTTCCGGTAAAAAACAATCGTTGCACAACAATTTCACGTGGTCCGTCTCACTAGCAAGAAAAGTTTCACCCGCTAAAATTTTCTTTTCCTTTTCTATAATTATGAAATTATATAATTATAAAATTAATTATTAAATATCACTGTATATAAGATATAAAATTAATTATTAAATATCACTGTATATAAGATATAAAATTAATGATTAAATATCACGTATATAAAATATAAAATTAATTATTAAATATCAAGTATATAAAATATCAAATAAAATAAAATATCACTGTATATAAAATATAAAGTTAATTATTGAATATCACGTATATAAAATATAAAATTAATTATTAAATATCAAGTATATAAAATTATATAATTATAAAATTAAATATCAAGTATATAAAATATCAAATAAAATAAAATATCACTGTATATAAAATATAAAGTTAATTATTAAATACCACTGTATATAAAATATAAAATTAATTATTAAATATCAAGTATGTAAAATTATATAATTATAAAATTATTTATTAAATATCAAGTATATAAAATTATATAATTATAAAATTATTTATTAAATATCATGTAGAGATACCCTTGCATAATTTCGCTGCACAAAACTTCCGGAACGTAACGTACAACAATCCTAAAACATTCGATCCCTGAAACCGTGATCCATCCGTCCCGCTGGACTCGTCTCACGACGTCAAAACAGAGGAGAGAAGCGCACGTGGAAAAGTCGTTGTTCGCGGCGCTGTAGCCCAACGAGACGCGAACCTTTTCGTTTCGTCGCCTCGGTGCCCGCGACACTCGTGACTAATTCTCTCATGCTCGTTTAATGAGACGCCCACGAGCGGGCGCGTCAGCGTTTTCCAGGTGCAGCAGCCACAGGAGGGGAAAACACACACGGGTGGCGGCTTGCGCGCACATCCGCAAAAGGGCAGCGGTGGAACGTAAGCCGGGGCGTAGGTGCAAACGAAGAAAGGTAAGGAAAACTAAGCGACGCGTTGCCTTTTTGCCGGCCGGCCGTGGTTTAAATCGTGTTACGGTTTGATAGTCTCATTACAGGCTCTGTTAACCCGTTTTTTCATCGGACCAAGACTATCTTGGTGTTCGAGTGCCTTATTCGTACAAATCGGAGAACGGGGAGACCGGCGGTGAAAAAAAAAAAAAGAAGAGACGTTGATATACCGTTTCGTTCTCTCTCTCTCTCTCTTTTTTCTCTCGTCTCTCCCTGTGTACGGCGTGCAATAATCGTCGCTTAATGGTACACGTCACGCAGCGTAGTTAGCGCGAATAGCTGAACGCTCAACTCGCGGAAGCACTTCCGAGTTGAGCCGCAGCACGGTTTCGCAATTTGCTCGAGCGACGAGCTTCCGGGATTCTTCCAATTCGTTCGACTAACGCGAGAGAATCCTTGTTTACAATTTTTCGCAAAAAAAAAAAAAAAAAAAAAGAAAAGGATGGTCCGTGGAGGCGCGCCATATGGGTCGCCAGCGTAAATACGTCTACCCCTAATTTCGATAATTCTTCCATCTCGGCTCACTGCCGCGTGGCTAATTCGATTTGTCGTCGGCGTGTAATTATCCCTTGGCGAGTAGGCGTGCGCCTGTCGTTTCCGCGCTCGAGCGAATTTCCAGCGGCGTAGTTCGTGAATTCGAGGCGAGTTGGAAGAAGGAGAACACCTTCGAGCCAGATGGTCGTTAGATTCAACTCGGTGACGAAACTTTCGGCGGACAAGTTGCGTTTCCTTTCGACACCAATTTACTAATGGTCCCCTTTGTTAGATGCTAACTGTAACATCGCTCGTTCGATCGATTCGATCCAGAGAGAGATAGAGAGATAGAGAGAGAGAAAGAGATACAGAAAAAAAAGAAACAAAAGCGCGGCGTTGCGTTTCGTGGCTTCGCTCTCGCAAGTAGAATCGTCGGTCGCGGCACGGACGCGCGGTAAGTGTCGTGCAAGTAGAAGTCGTCGTCGGCGGCGGCGGTCGGTAGGAAGCTCGAGCTGGGACCACCCTTTGGCCTCGATGGCTCTTCAACCCCTTCCAGGTGGTCGCGTTGGACCTCTCCTCCCGCTCGACTGCTCCGGGGAACCGATCTCGAAACGGACGGAGGAGAGAACGAGAGCCGTGGCTGAAAAGTGGCACCGAGGTGGGAGAGCGCGTTCGTATCAATCTCTCCTCTGGCCTCTACCGCCAACCCTCACCTCGGCACCCCTCCAGGCTCGGTCGGTGCCGAAATCCCTCCACTTCGCTGCGCGCCGAGCGCAAGCCGACCCTCCACCCTACCCCCGCGCTATAATGAAAGATATTAACTACAATTTTATATCGAATTACCGCTGAAACACATTTCAAATTAGTTGGGCGTAGCCGCGCCATGTAGCGGAGGCGCCGAGGTTGCCGTGGCCGCGATTGGCCTGCTGGTTAGCGCCGTCGTCGAGGATTGGCTTGGTGAAACGAGCAGAGGGGAATGCTCAGGGCGTGCCAGAACCCCGATATGGCCGCCCAGGAACGAACGAACTGAGCTTGATCCGCTCAGTGCGAGTAGATCAGTCGAGGCAACCCGATGCACACGCACGCCTCGCCTCATAGCCAACGCTCCATACGACCACGACGAAGCCTAATCGCCAGTGCGCCAGACGCACCCCGCACGCTCTCTCTACGATCGCCAGCCACCAATTTCGAAATTTCCCGCGCGACGCGATCGGCGAACTGGCCTGGCCAAGCGGGGTGAATCGCGGATCGAGAAGAGATCGGGGCATGTCGTTTGTTGGTGTCCGATCGGGAAGAAGAGAAATCCCAGTGTGAACCGTCGTGGTTGATCGATTGTGGTGACCGGTTAAAGAAAGAAAGGGAGAACGTTTGAGAAACGTGAGATTATTCCGGCCGAGGACAGAAAGTTGTTTGGTAAACAACCTGTTCGTTAGTGACTGCAAGCCGGAGTGACTGTCGAGTGATCGAGTGATCTCGCCGAGAAGGCGAGAGTTTCTAAAACGAGTAAACTGGTAGGAGCGATTAAAAGCGAGTGGTTCGACGTGACAGGGTGCATCGTGCGCGAGAGGGAGCAGAAAGAGAGGAAAAACGAAAGGCGATCGAGGGGTTTCTTTTTTTCATATAGAGAGATAATTAATAATTAAACGGCCGAAGAGAAGAGGGGAAAAAAAAAAGGAGAGCGGAAATGGCCGGCGAACTGGCTGTTACGCGCGGCAATTATGTTAAGTGGCCAATTAGCAATTAACCAAGGAGACCAGCGGAGCGGCCCCTTAATTGCGGGGAATAAGAGGACGACGAGGAAGGTGGAGACCGAGGAGGAGGAGGTGGAACGACCGAGCGAACGGGAGGAAGCGCAAGGTGCATCGCAACCATCTCACGCGCCATTTACTCTCTATTCTTCTATCGAAATCGACCGCGAGATTCAACGACCCCCCTCTGTCCGAATCCTCCTTCTCGCATAGTCCCTTCGTCGTGACAATTCGACGAGACAGTGGGAATATCTCGCATCGATGGGAATGTTCGCAACGGACGGAAAGAGACACTGGAAGAAGAGAGAACGGTGCTCGAAGGGATAAATCGTTATCACAGTGAAGTGCGGGATTCGGTGAAACGAAGTTGCTAACCCAGAAGGCGACGTCGTCACCGTCGGCAAGATTCTGTCTCCCAGGTACCGGGCGAGTCCTGGGGTGGCGACAGAGGCACCTGCAGGTGCCCGTAGCCCGAAGGAACCACCTACGTGCACCGTGATGACGGTCCATCATCATCAGAATCACCACGTGGTGGCACGGAGCGGCGTCACCGTGGCCAACAACGGCCTGAATCTGAGCAGGATGTCCGGCCTGGAGGCGCACCGGCTCGAGAACATCGTCGAGAGGAACGGCGTCAGCGTGGAACGTTTGTCGAACGGGCTCGACGCCAGGAACAACAACCACGGTGGCAACAACGGGCTGGTAGAACGTGGCGACGCGTCGACCACCATGCCGCAGAGATCGCGATTCATGATCACCGACATACTCGGCGGTGCGTCGAGCAAGATGCACCAGGCGGCCGGTCTGCAGAGCCAAGAGCCGCCCGGAAGTCCGCCGTCAACTCCGAGAGACCTCAGTGTCAGGCATCAGTCGAGGACGTCGTTGAACAACAGCAATCTCGACGAGGATAGCGATGCGAGCCATCACGACGGCGCATCCGTTACATCCAATGGTAAGAGGTTCGATTACGTTCTTTGTTCAATTACGTCCTCGTATGTCTCGTACGTTGGACCGCACCACGCGCGTCCAGAATTTCTTGTCTCTCAAATTGCAACATTTTCTCAGTTCCAAGTATAGTTAAATGCAAACCCAGGCGAAACAAACGATCAGTTTGTTACTTCTTAATGATTTCTATTCAGTGATATCGTACCGACGTGTTTCAAGAGAAAATGAAAGCATTACGAATTATTGTATACGATTCGGTCGCTCGTTATGGTCCGCAATCAAGTGGTGGCTCTTGCGCTGGAATGATGTGCCACGCACGTCGAGAATGCAATATTTTCTTTAAGTATATATTTAAATGTAACCCAGGCAAAGCAAATGATAGGTTTGTTATCTCTTAATCATTTCTATCCAGTGATATCGTACCGACGAGTTCAAGAGAAAACGAAAGCATTACGAATTATTGTATACGACTCGGTCGCAATCAAGTGGTACCTCTTGCGCTGGAATGATGTGCCACGCACGTCGAGAATATTTGGCCCAAAATTGCAATATTTTCTCTAAGTATATATTTAAATGTAACTCAGGCAAAGCAAATAATAGATTTGTTACCACTTAATCATTTCTATCCAGTGATATCGTACCGACGAGTTCAAGAGAAAACGAAAGCATTACGAATTATTGTATACGATTCGGTCGCTCGTTATGGTCCGCAATCAAGTGGTGCCTCTTGCGCTGGAATAATGTGCCACGCACGTCGAGAATATTTGGCCCAAAATTGCAATATTTTCTCTAAGTATATATTTAAATGTAACCCAGGCAAAGCAAATGATAGATTTGTTACCACTTAATCATTTCTATCCAGTGATATCGTGCCGACGAGTTCGAAAAGAAAACGACGAATTATTGTATACGGTTCGGTCACTCGTTATGGTCCGCGAATCAGTTGCCAGCGCAAAGGGGTTAAATCGTTTTGCGGAATGGTACCTTTCGAAACGTACGCAACGTACGATACATTCGCGCAACGCGAGCGAACTTTAATCGTCGTTCGTTGGCTAATTGGCCAACCGGTAACAGAAGTGAACGAAGGAGAGGGAGGTGGGGGAGAGAGTGAAAACAAGAGGAGAGACAGAGAAGGCGAAGGAGGCGCGAAATTAATTTCGCCACTCGGTTTGTTCGCCTGACCGCTCGCCTGGACTTTCACGAAGGTGTCAAGGACATTTATGGGGCGGACTGTCCCGACCGGATGTTCCACTCGGCGAGAGATCCCCTGTCGCCACCCGTCGGTAGTTGCGAGCACACGAAACGCAACTCGGACCGTGCTCACGGGAATCAGAGATATTTCCCGTGAGATAAAAGACCTTTCTCCTATGTATCGTCCCTTTCCCTCTCTCCCCCTCCCCCTTACCCACTCTGTCTCGACATCGTTTACGGATTTTAATGGTCTCAAATTGGTCTTCGGCGCTCGAACGCTTTAATTATGTTACCCTCATTTGTTTCGTTCAACTCTCCCTGTCCCGCGGCCGTCCTTCACAGCGTTTAGACACCCGTGGGCCCACCGAGCGCCAAGTGAATTTACCTGTTTTCGTTTCTCGGAGTCTCGGACGCGCAAAGGAAATCCTTCTCTTTCCACCGAGAGATTGAGGATGAAACAGGTTGCAATTTCCACGTGTTTAACTCTCTCGTTAAATCGCAATCAATTTCCGCGAGAGGAGGAAAGGATGGAAATTCTTTCTTCGTTCGTAGTTTACCGAACCTTGTCCGGTCTTTTCCTTTGATTGACCGATGGCTCTCCACGGCTGTTGACCCTCCGAAGGATCACGCCGCTGCGTAATGCGTGACCTCGCGATCGATTCGCCTTTCGAAATTTCGTAGAACGCTGTCCGACGATGATTCTTCGGTATTCGGGCCCCCGGTCACCTAATTAGAGGCCATCGCGGTTTCTTCGGGTTAATGGAATCCCGAATGATCATTACGCGGTCGAAACTTACCATTTCGACACTTCCGTCCATTATTTCTACTCGTTCTCGTTTATAGATATTATATCTTTTCTCTCTCTTTCCTCTTTTTTTTTCTCTTTTTTTTTTTGTATTTTCACTGATTCACCGACCCGTGACTCGAAATTACGCGCGGTACAGCGCCGTAAGAGATCGTGTTCTACCTCGTTTGTCCAAACATCGGACGAGACTTCCCGTCAGAAAGAACGTTTCAAGCCGCGTTAGCGATTAAACGCGGCCGAGCACAAAGTGTTCCTCGAGTTACGATTATTGGTGAAAAAAAGAGGGAAGCTAATTGCAGGCATTCGTCAGTTTCCAGCTATTGACAGAGGCATTGGGAAAGCCTCGAGTAATACCGATCATCTCGAGACGATTTCCGTCAATTTACAACCAGCTTTCCCCCTCCTTCTTTCCGCCGCGTTTCACGTTCACCGCTCGTTTCACGTTGGCCGACGATCGACGCTCCACGAGGTACTTTCCTTCGAAGGCTACGTTCATACGCTTACACCGTAATCGGCTTATTTTGCACAAAAAGTACATTAGGAACAATTACGCGCATGACTACGGCTACGTGATTAGAGGCACGGTTCCGTGCACTAATACTGCTTCTGACTGTGAGAACCGAACAGACTTTCGGTCCCTCGCAAAAAAAAAAAAAAAAAAAAAAAAACGGAAACAAGCCTTTCATCCTCCTCTACAACAATTACCCACGCTCGTCGTGAAATCACGAATTCATCTCGAGTCGAGAAATCGCGTACGTAACGTCGATCGATGATCGTCATCCTCGCCGAAACGAGCGATTCGCGATAAGGGGACGTTTTTATAGCCTCGTCGAGTCGCAGCGATCGCAGACCGCGATTCGAAAAGCTGAAACATCCCCGGGGAAGTGCAAAGCGCGTGTCGTGGCCGACCGTTTTCCTCTCGACCGAGTAACGTATGCTCGAGGGCCGTTATCAGTCGCGGTTAACCTCACACGCGGCTAATCGTCGACCAAAGAACTAACGAAGGCCAATTAGAAAGAGTAACGCCGTCGTAATTGCCGGCGAACACGCTTTCCGGACGATCGACTCGGTGATTATGCACGATTCATCCTCTCGGTCTATCGAGACACTTTCGGATATCTTTTCTCGCTTGGTCAGCTCCTTCGATCGTGCTGTTCGCATCGATTCGTAACTATTTTACTAAAACGTTTGCACGTCTCTCAACAGGATGTTCGTCTTCTCCGCGCTTTGTTTCTTACTTCTCAAAGAAGAGAGACTAGTATCAAACTAGAAATTCTTAATATTTTATCCAATAGTCTTTCTCGCTTCGTCAACTTTTTTTCTTCTGAGCGATCGTGCTGTTAAAATGCTGTCGATCTGTAATTTTTTCACGCTCAATTTCACGCGCCCCTTGACAGAATATTAACTCTTTCTCAAATTTTCTTTTACAAAAACGAGGAAATCGAAATTTCTTTCCAAACATTAGGAAATATTATTTTTTATATATTTATATATTTATATATATATAAAATTTTAATATTATTATATATTTATATAATTATTTTAATATTATTATATATTTATATATATATATAAAATTTTAATATTATTAAAATTTTTCTCCCACCTGGTCAGCTTTTTTCTTCTCTGATTGATTAGAAAAATCATGCTCATTAAAACACTCTCGATTCGTAATTGTTTTGCGCACCCTCCAACCCTTTTATTCGCACATTGTTTTCTCTTGCCATTTTTACTCCCAAAGGGGGACGAGTATCGAGAGATACATACGCGACGACGTCGAAATAGAATTTCTAATATTCCGGGGGAGGGAAAGCATGGTTGTCGACGCGAGCAGCTATTTTGCACAGCCGTTTCACGCGCATATCTAATCTCGCGGGAGTAATTGTCGGTACATGCGCCGTTGTCCACCTTGCACGTTCAATCCAATAAAGAATTAATGAAAGCCAATTAAGAGGAGTAACGCCAATGTAATTGCCGTCGGGCACGCTCGCGCCATTCGCTCCGGCTCCGACAATTTTCCACGATCAATCGTAGATCCTTTATTTTTTATGCGCATCCGCGCCTCTATTATTTCCTATACGATGGAGCGCACACGATAAAAATTCTAACTAATCGAAAATCAAACTCGCGTTTCCACCGACAGCTTCTATCTTCGCATCTTGCATTCGATTCCTGCAACTTGTCAGGTATAATTTTACCATGCGAGATTGGAACGGATCATATTTCTATGAGTGCAATTAAAAGAGAGCCGTTTCCATTCGCCAAGTGTCGTAACGAGCTCATCGTTCTATTCGATATGTTGCGTGCATTTCAAACTCTTTCAACTCTCGAACGAAACCTCGGGCTATAATCTTTTGATCTTCTGTCGATTAATGAACGCAGACTCTGTTCATAATGGAGATTTAATTTCTCGTTAAACGGTTTAAAAATATAACATCGTGGACGTTGTTATTTGCAGTGAGGAGCAAAATTGAACGTGCATTGTATTTTGTCGAATTTCTTTTTTATTTACAATATGTAGAATATAAGGGAAGTAAAATATATAGCATTGGTTTACCAAAAAAAAATTTCACGATCGTCTTATCATCACTGTTTCATATGAAATGGAGTGAATTTTGTACCATAACTAATTTTGATGAAGAATTGTCTATAGTTTGAATTGTTACAATCTCATATAACAATCTTAGTCTTAATTTAGAACGCAAAGCTTTTATTTTGATTGTTTTGTTTTAGTTCAATAAAATTGCTACAAAGGAAAAAGGGAAAAATCTTGCAATAAGTCAGTCTACAAGGAAAACTTCAACTTGCAAGACTATGAATTTAAATATAAAAAAAAGTTTTGATTGCCTTGTTTTAGTTCAATAAAATTGCTACAAAGAAAAAAAGGAAAAATCTTGCAATAAGTCATTCTACAAGGAAAACTTCAACTTGCAAGACTATGAATTTAGAAATAAAAAAAAGTTTTGATTGCCTTGTTTTAGTTCAATAAAATTGCTACAAAGAAAAAAAGG